ACCAAAGTCCGTAAGAGTTATAAAAATAGTTCAGTAAAACAAGGAGGTTTCAGTTCATCTGGTCAAGGGGAATAAATATGGGGATTGGCTGTCACTTGGGGTTGGAAACGGGAGCATACTGTTGGGAAGCTGTCCTCTACACCACCTTCCCAGGTTAGATATATCCGGTGTAAAAGTTGTGTGCACCTGTGCAATGGCGAAAATTGCTAACCTATCCAACCACTTGCTGACACAGTGGCAGCCAAAATTCAGTCGACACAATCGATCGCTTCAGACTGTTGCCAGGTGCAACCAACTGTAGAGTGTTGATACATCCATTTAAACCGAATAAGGCCAGGTTTTGTGATTAGGTTTTGTTATTAGACCAATGGTATAAATGGCTTTAACAGAAGAAAATACCAAATGGAAATTTTGTAAATTAAAAATGGCAAGATACACAGCTGGTCGATGGACTCACGGATTCGCAAAAAGCGGTGGTAATAGAACAACGTGGAAGACGCCGCTAATGAGCATTAGGTTTGGGAGGACCCAAAGGCTATCGAAACCCATTTCAGAGCAGTACCCAATAGTTTCAGCAATATAACATTCAGGTTTAACATACAGGCGATCAGTCCTCGAGTTAGATGGAACAGATAAGTTCTTCTGCAATGCAACCTCAAGATAAAGGATTCTACCGGCCTTTTTTGAAGCGCTCAGCAGCGGCGCACAGTCAAATATTAGTGCAGAACCGCGCAAAGTTTGGCAAGCCAACTCCTTTTGCCTATCGGAGATCGCAGTTCTGCGCTCGAGGTTTCCAAGTTTCCTTCGATTCAAACCGCACGGCTAACTCTCCTGGTTGGTTTCCATAATCCGCACGTTAAGGAGACCTACGGACAAGATGAAAACTTACAGTAAGCCTGTAGTTCTAGTGTGCTGTAAGGGATTCGCTTCGTGATTTCTTTGGATGCAGCACAGCCTATTTGACACGGACAACCTTTATTGTTCCTGGGGCCAAACAAGTCGTTTGATGTCCTAAATGACAGGCAATTGGCCATCCATTTAGGCTTCTTAATGTACTGTATCTGTAAATTTTGTACTGTACTGTGCTGTCTTTTTTGTTTTATTCGGTGGACTTCTACCGTTTAAGTTTGTTGCGTTTACAAAGTTTTCATTGCGAGCGGCAGCCCTTGTTTTTGTGGAATTCAAAAGAAGTTGTTTCAGCTGTGGTTTCAAAAATCACCGGATCAGGTTAATTACCTCATGGGCCGAAGTACGTAAGCTTGTATCATAAGTGCGCAGCTTGACCTATTAAGGTCAAATGTCTGACTGACTTCCGTCTATCTGTCTTCCGTGTCTATCTTTCCA